GCGATAATTGTAATATAATTAGGGCCAGTGGCATTTTAAATTAGCTGTACGTATTGCTCTAATTTACATGCTTATTACTTAAGGGAAAATTACGTAATGCGAATTGTTTTTCTTATACTGTTTCAACTGCGAGGGCAGAGGTACCACTACGACTGCTATACTGATGTAGGAGATATCTTGTCGATCCGACTTATTAACTTCATGAGGTTAAGGTTAAGAGAACTACAAAAAGCCTCTTCTGGCGGATAATCAAGATAATTATGGCTCATCATTGATTCCTTGAGAATAAAGAAGGGATCATATTGACCAGTTCGCTCAACCAAGTTATAATCAGAAGTCTAAGTCTGCTGGGTTCAGCTAGTAGGCGAAAAGCGCGATGACATCAAAGAAACCTTTAGCAGAAAGTCCGTCAAGAATGTTCCCGTAAAGCACATCCTTTTCGAACTCGGTTAAAGCAAACAGGGTATCCCAGGATAAACCGTCAATCTCTGATATGCATAAAGAACACAAAGATAATGCCACAGGCTTCTGCAAAAAATGTCCGAAGGGGCTCCTCTACAAAGATATAACGCCGTAAGGGACGCGACTGGAAATCGGTTTCTCAAATAAGTTTTGTAGGATTCAACAAAATTGACAGACTGGTAACTAGTTGGGGCCTCACATGATGGTCTCAGGGAAATTCTAATATTAAAGCTGAGTAAAATGTTATCTTGTTTGACATCAATAAAATGGGCCGTTTTGAAAACAAACAGTTTGATTAATTTTGGTTCGGCCATTTTGAGAATATAGTGATTCTGATAACAGATTCGTAGCGAATGATCCGAAAACTTTAGGGTGTGAATATTTATTACAGAGTGGCAGCAGTATAAATCGCGAAGTACTGATTGGAGAAATCCTGTTTTTGTCAAAAAGGGCTAACTTTATAAAAATTAAATACGAATACCATTTTGTCAACTAAAAAGTAGGTTTTCTAAGAATATTATTGTTGGGTCACTATCATAAAGAGTACAAAACAACGTCAGTAATTTTGCGTAAGAGCTAGTCCATCCCTGGTGTACCAAATTTTGTATAAAACTAAAATGTCTTTCAAAAACTGTTTGAGACCGATATCCAGTAGTGTCCTTTAGTGCGATATTTTTTTTCATAGTAACTTGTGATACTATTTTTTGTGTTCTATGTATGTATACAAAAAATTGACATGTTATTCTGAGGCCTAAAACCTCACAAGCATTCTGATTGTGCAGCTTTTGGCAACCCTGTAATTTTCGTGGGTGATTCTATGATATATCGGCCGTATATTTCACTCAGTCGCACACCTTAACGAACCCACGCGATGTATTACCTGTAAGTAATATGCCTATTAAGCCCATAAATTTCAATATCTAGTATAAATATACAGTTTACAGCGGTGTGCCGCGGCTAGTACACGTGAGCATTAAAAAAACTGCCTCAAATTATGACAATTATGTCACCTGCTATCCGTTCGTTTACAAGAACGGGATCACACGTTATGCAATGTTTATCGAATGTTGCATAAACAAGCGCCATGAGAACGTTTTATGAATGTATTTAACATCGCATTAACATCCCGTTAGCTGAGTAGCTGGTAAAGCACTAGATAAGAAAGATTTTAGAGGACTTTATGGTGCAAGTTTATACACTGACGAAAAAGGCCGATTATGCATTTTTAAAGAAAATTATTTCCTATGTATTTTTCATCAACAATCCTCGTGTAACGTGGACATATTAAGCCCCTTTTTTTAAAAACTCTTCATCGAACTTACCTGTTGATGAATGTCGGGATACATAATCATTCCAATGAGTATACCACCTCTATCAAGGGAAATGTATGCGATTGTGTCGTGTCTATCCCATATCCTGGAAAATATCCCTTATCGCCAAGTGACGAATCTTGTATACAGAGTCGTATTAAGGGGGAAGGGTGTTCTCTGGCCGTGATTTGCAGTAGCTTTTTGTACTGTATGTATTTTCTAGCAAGGCTTAGATTTACAAAGCATATTTCTTAACACGACAAAGAAATAAATGGGAGGGGGCACATTAAAGAAAAGTACGAGCCCCTTCCTACTTCAGTAGGCCCACTTCAATATTTGTACCAAAATATGCCTTTATAAACTAAACATGACGAAACTATTTACTTCTAAAACAATTTATTTTCTCAAAAACATTTTTGATACACTCTAGTCGTAAAAAATACATATTTGAAATCACTTAGACCTATAACTAATAGAACATCTGAACAAATATACAATGTGCGAATAAATGCGCGAAGTTAACAAAGCAACAATTGAAAGATTACCATTGGGTAACATCACTTTTATTTTTTATTATGGCTGAAATTCTTTGGGGCCTAGTGTTAACCAAGTTTTGGAAAAAATTTGGTGTAAAACAATCCCATATTTCTTGAAGCTTTTGTCTCGGTGATTCTACGAGCAGGATGTTGTCGTAGAACCTTTTTCATCTCGTGCCACAAAGTTTCAATAGGTGACAGATCTGGACTGCTAGAAACCCATTTCAAAAGTGGTACATTATTTTCTTCCATCCATTTTATAGCCTTTTTTGATGTATGGCACGCTGCACCATCTTGCTGAAACACAAAATCTTGGCCGGATGTCAAACATTCTTCCATCACTGACAAAAGCGATTCTTCTAAAATTGCCAAATATTTGTTTGTATCCACATTTCCATCAATAAAATGAAGTTTTCCTACTCCTTTTGATGACATACTGCCCCAGACCATAATGGATGCTGGAAATTTTACTTTTCTGTTCAGACAGTCAACATGGAATGCTTCATTTTTTTGCGAATAACTCTACTGCGACTGTCACCAACACAAACTTCGAATCGGGCCTCATCACTCCATTGTATTGCACACCATTGTTGAGGTGTCCATTGTCTATGTTCTTTAGCCCATCTAAGCCGATTGCAGTGGAGTTAATAGTGGCTTTTCTTTGGCCTATAAACAAGTTTTGCAGCTTTAGGGTTTTTACTTCACTTTTTTTTAGTGCTAAATCCCAGTTTGTGGGCGTCTCTATGAGTTGTGGACGTCGAAATTCCCGTTCCAACAGCGTTACTCCACAGAGCACTTAATTGTAAATAATTGGCACGCCTATGTTTCACGATTATTCTTCTTAATGCTCTTCGCTCGGCATTTGTGATATTACTTTTTTTCACATATCGTGGCTTGATATTAACTGAACCAGTTACGTTATATCGTCTAAAAATATTTCTCACACTGTACCGCGATAAGTCTAACATAGTTGCAATTTTTGAGTTTGATTTCCCAGAATTAAAAAATTTAATTATTAGTAACCGAATTTCCTCACTAATAACCTTTCCTCCACCCATTTTGAAAATCTTAACTACCCAAAACTATTTTAAACGTATTCTGACAGCTTTGATTAATGAAAACAATTGTCATGGCTGTTATTTTTAACAGCCACCTATGCATTATAGACTTATTTTGCATGAAAATGAAAATAGGTTGATGTGCTGTAATTGCAACATGTGTTATTTTTATGCTGCAAATTTGATTAGGGAGTGATAAAGTTGGTGTTTTCTACTATATATTATCAAAATATTCATTGTTAATATTTTAAACCCATAACACCCTGCTACATTTTTATTATTTGTGTTTGATAAGAAAAAAACTAAGATTTCAATAGTTGGGCCAAGTGAAGTGGGAAGGGGCTCGTACTGTATATATCTGAAACTAAACATTCTAGTGCGATTCCAGCGATCAAAAAAACTTTCGTTACTGAATCGTAAAATTCATCTATGCTTTCCTATTATTGTACAAGGAAAGACTGAAAACATATATTTGAAACATATGATACTTTCGATTGATGCCAACACAAAAATATTTCTCCTCTTATTGATAGCCGTGAGTGTTGTGTTTTCAGCGTTTATGACCTTGCTAAATGAACACAACAATCAACAATACGGTTTTACTAATTGTCAGGGACAAGAAAGCTGATACATGATAATCCAATTTATATAATCAGCTTATCGGTGCCTTACAGTCTTACATTTAAGCCACTAACAATGCCAGTTTGATCTGTTTGACTAGTTGGCATAAGTAAATTGCAAAGAGGATTCAACTCTGCTTGTTTCCCACTCATTATGATAAACTATTGCATTTCAATATCCGTTACAACCACACTATTGGTCGCTTCTCCTATTCTTCTCATGGAAAGCGAAATGCCCAGATGTGACACCCATAGACTATTTCTGGACACGAAACATCTCGTAGGTACTACGATGTATTGGCTTTGCTGGTGATAAAAGAATTATCTGGTATACTAAACACACTCAAATAAATATGATTTATCCAAAAAAATTATTTACTATCAGGAAAAAATTTATTTTGACGGAATATTATTTCGTCGATTATTTCTTAGTGTTTTGACTTTTTCCAAAAATGAGGTTAAGCTTCTGTCAAATGCATCGAGATAGTGTTATAATTTCTTTTGGCAATAAAAAAACTGCCCCAGGGGGCGAAGTTAATTGTATCATACAAATATTGATACAATTTGACACTCTGAGTACATCAGTAGCAGCTTACCAATTAGCATTAATTCGATCCTGCATCTTATCTTTACAATATACTGCTGTGAAATTCCTGACAATTTTTCGATGTTCACAGCGAATCCGTGATTGCAGACACTGTAATTTTTTTGCAATCACAAACAAAAAATACGGATCAAAAAAAATTGTTATAGACCAACAAGTATGTGGATAATTCAAGTCTTATGAAACAACAACAAAAAATAGACGTGAACAGAAAGTCACATTTATATTTAGAGAAGAAGATACCTGACCACACAGCATTGCTAGATAACACATAAGTATACCTATTTTATGACAATCCAATAACTATTTATTCACAGTGTTTCCAGTGTATTCCAGACTAATGATGGAAGAACGATTCAAATGACTTAGTATGCCTTTTGAAATCCTATGGAATTCAATGGATCCAAATATCAAAAGCTTAGTGCAATATCAGGCGTTCCACAGGGATTATCGTTAGGACCAGGTCCTTTCATTATATTTATCGACAACATAGCTGACGTCATTAATTGCAAATTTCTGTCATATGCCGATGATCTGAAAGTTTATATTCAAGTTAGCCACAGTACCGATTTTGAACGTCTCCACAATAATCTTAACCGGTGAGTAATTTGAAGCGATAATAATAACCTATGCATAAATGCATCCAAGTGTACCAGCATGATGCAGAAAACATCGCTCCATAGAATATCATTAAAAATTAAACAACACCTCCGAATGTAAGAAAATTTAAACATCTTGGTTCTTTGACACAACTTTTAGTTTCAATCCGTATACAAATAATTTTGTGAATAAACGTCTGTTTTGTGTTGCGCAACTCTTGTGATTTTGATAGCATACATGCTCTACTCCTGTTGCATGATGGTGATGTCAAAACTTAAATACGCAAGAATTATTTGGAATCCTCGATATACGACGACGTGTGACTCATCAGAAAAAATACAATGTAAGTTTCTGAAATATCTGTCGTAGAAGATGGTATTATCCAGAAATAGGTATTTCGAAAGATGTATTATTAAAGATGCAGAAAAATGCACTCGTTAATATTTTTATTCAAGGTTATTCACAACCAATATGATTGTCCATATATTCTAAGTCTTCTGCCGTTTAATATATCAAGATGTCTCACCAGAAGCATTCTCACGATTTATTTACCAACCCCCAGGAGCAACATACTTCTGCATTCTCCTTTCTATGTAAACATGTGTTCTCCCACCATTGATATGTTGGTGGTGTAAATAAATAGATAAATAAATGAACAAACTATCTCTATGTCAATCATCATCCAGATCCGTTCAGCGATTTTGGCGTGATTGAGTAACAACGCTTTTTTATTTATAGTAGGGATTTTTTATTATATAGATTTCAATGAATACACAGTATTTGCTTTTTTGCTGTTTAGTTATCTACTTGTATCTTTATCAATTCAGGAACTAGCTCTCGACTATATATCAACTTTCTTTTCAGGGCTTGGCCACCTTAATGCGCAAACTTCAACAATTCACTGCTCGTATTACATTGCAATATATATTGCTGTAAATCAAATTAATACTAATATTAATTGTATCGAACATACTCCATATGATCAAAAGTAGGATATTTAGTACATAAAACAGAAGTCTACTATCAATTATAGCCAACTAGATTATATCAGCTGTCACTGCCAAACCTTTACGGCAGCAAGTAGCGACATGTCGTACTACTTAGCATACATTCAGTAATTCAAATTCCAGCAAAAATTTCCTGGTCACTTGAAAACTTGTATGCCTTAATTTATGGCATACAGACATGGAATTTATGTTATTATTTTAATTACTTCTACTTGATCGCTTTCATATTGATATGATTAATGAAGTAGGCAGAGTCAATGAAAGCATTTTAGCTCTGTGTGCAAGCTACAGATTAACATCGTGTTAAAACAAAATGAAACAAAAAATCGGCATTTTGAGCGTGATGTAAATTGCGTGTTGACAGATTGGAGGAAATGTTCGACTTTATGTGGACATACTCCCTTAGCTACTGAACTTAATTTGCAAGATGTGAGATGTCAGCCCTATAAAGCAAATTTTCGTATGGAAGAATGTTTTCGGGGCACTTGATCTCTCCAAATGACGATGTCATCTGTTCTCCAAGATGATATTATTTAACGAACCTAGAAGTCTCTCTGTGTTCATAAAAACTAAGTTTTGCGTCAACAGACGAGATGCTCTATAGACCTACTGAAGATATTCCGGGAGCCTCCCAAAACTAGTCAAAAAGTAGTGGAAAAAGTAGTCAAGAGGGCGCAGATCTGTTTGGCTACCAGAGACGAGCATTTACTTCATATCATTCTCTATAACCCATAACTTTCAACAATAGAACAGGATAGAAACTTGGATTATTCAATCTTAGAGATATTGGAGAAATAACTATGTCAGTTATATACCAGGTGTTTGAGATTCGAATCTCACCATTAATATCTCTGAAATGGTAAGAGATACTAAGTCGTATTTATACAGGGTGTTCAGCTGAAAACTTCTCACAACGGATTTATCGAAAACCACTGATTAAAAGAAAAAATGCCGAGACAAGTCAAAAGATTTGTCAAGGGGGACAACTTCTTAACCAAAAACTACTTCGTCCCCTTTTACGCTCTGTCCCCCAGGGTCATCCCTTTGAAAAAAATAAATAACAAGGGGTATCGAGTAGTACCTTGTTTGCAAGAATATACGAAGTGCTTTAATTTGACGTATGACTTTTTAAAATCGGTCTATTCGTTTTCAAGAAAATTAGAAAAATCTTTATTTATCTTAATGTTCAGATAGAAAACAAAAACACACGAATACATAGCTTTTCATTTAAATAAGCGTTTAAAAGGTTGCCCGTTATTGACCAAGCAATGATATAGGCGAAGTTCCTGACGGACATTTTCAAAAACATGTTGTGGGATATCATGGCAACTTTCGATGACGTTCATCCAAACTTTCAGCTTGGGGAGTAAACACAATAGATTTCAAATGGCCCTATAGAAAAAAGTCTAATAGCATCAAATCAGGAGATCTAGCAGGTCATTCTATAGGCCCTCTTCGCCCTATCCGTTTATCGAAGCGCTGTCTTTATGGAAATATATTTTAGCCTCATCAAGTATAGGGTTTCCATTCTCTTCAATTTGGTTTTCAATTGTTTCACTGATAAGCGGATTGATGGTATTTTCTAACACATCCAAACAGATGTCTCCATATAAATTTCAATTAACAAACAATGGTCCAATCGCTTTGTTTCCTAAAATGCTTGCCCATTATTTTTTTGGGGGTATTCTACAAAAGCATGACGATTTTCATTTCTTTCAAGGTAACTGACAGCAAATTAAATTCTTTTTTTCCCTTAGCAACAAATAACTAAACAGGTATAACAATAAATAAAGTTCACCCAGGATATCTGTGTTTATGAAAAAAATGCGGAAAGAAAATCCGGTTTTATTTGATTCTTGCCACGTCTAATCTTCCGAATTGCTGTTTATGTTTGTAGTTTCCGTTTTAATTTATAAATAAATTGTAAATTTGGCAAACCCTAACGGGCAACATTTTGAACAGTTATTGAAATAAAAAGTGACATTTTCGTATGTTTTTGTTTTCTATGTGAACAAATTAAGATAAATAAAGATTTTTCTGATTTTCCCGAAAACGAATCGACTGATTTAAAAAATAAAACGTTAAAATAAAAGACTCCAAAACACCTTTCAAACAAGCTTTTACTCGATACCCCTTGTCATTCAAAATGTTTTAGGGAATGACCCTGGGGGGCCAAGAGTGAAAGGGGGTGAAGTAGTTTTTCGTTAAAAAGTAGTCACCCTTGACAAATATTTTGACGTGTCTCGGCGTTTTTTCTCTTAATCAGTGGTTTTTGATAAATCCGTGGAGGGAAGTTTTCAAATGAACACCCTGTATAGAGTCGAGCCATACGAAAAAAACAATTTTTTCGCAAAATCGTTTCTATTTTTTTTTTCAATTGGAAACACCCGCTATAGTAAAAGGTTATCACGCCCTGCACGTAAGGTCTGAAGCACCAAGTTAGACTATAAAATGTTCCAGACGTATATCAACTACCTTTTGTCAGAAAATACTCTATGTCCATAATTCAGCACCAATTAAAATGTTGTCGTTACTAGCGTACTTGTGAAGGTCGCATTGTATGCAAATCACTTAGAAGGCTGTGGTCACCGGATATCTTATGGTGTTTTCGCTATTGTAAATTGTTTTTTATTGTGTTATTCAGATTTGCAATTAGCTCTTAACTGTATCTGCAAAGGCGGTAAAGGTATTTGGAGTTTACTAATACTGCAAATGAGAGACAATTAGAATTTCTTCTAAGTTTAATGCATTATGTAATAAGTAACGGCAATAAAATTTTTATTATCTAATACACTAAACAGACGAGCTGAAGGATTTCTGGTGTACATTTATTGAAAAATACCTGAAGCTATTAAAACTGTACTAAAACTGATATTATATTCTAGTTCAGGGTCCGATAATAATGATCATCAAATACTCAAAATTGGTACATGAGAGGTGAATTGGATGTGAATAAGTCTAGAAAAAAGCCAACGTATGCTGCCACAGTGCTATTAAATATAGAATAATAATAAACGAGTAACTAATAACTTACTGATTCTCGTCTGTTGATAAGCTACACCCATAACTCACCTGTAAAAATACAATAACTGTTAGTGGTTTCTCAGAAGATTTAGTAAAGTTCTACTTTAATTTTAAAAATGAGTCTAAGATGAATATAGACAGTTATCGAACAATCATATAGTAACAATAGGTTTTTCAATATTCTTTGACGATACCAAGCATTATTTAGTAGGTTCATCTTAGAAGAAAACTAATACAGCTGTGGTACAAATGACACATTACAGGCATACAAACATATACGGATAAGTTATAAATATTACCGTAATGGATACTTATTGAGGTGGTGCGAACATGTATTAGAAAGGTAAAGCACGCATAATATTGCATAAGTAAGCAATAAAATTTAATCTCTGATCTGGAATTCTGCAATTATACCAGATACCAATAACAGCAGACAGAGGTTTATCTATGCATATTGAGAGCAATAATAACTTTAAAGTTTCTGAAGCAGCTTAAAGAATAGCAACAGTGTTGATTCAAACTCCCATGGATAGGTCTACATTCCTAACATACATATCTTACTTTGAAGATACACGTCAATCTATGAGCGTGAATTTACTCTACTTCCTTGTCTTTATTAACTGACCTATAGGGTGGCACAGTTCAATCGGTGTAACCGTTAGTATAAGCGTTTAACCAATCTTCGAGTCCTAGTACTCATTGTTCAAGAATCCAAAAGTTTATCCATGAAGCTAAAACTAGCAGAGGATCAATCTTTAAGGGTTCTTGGCCCAGATAATAAATCGAATTTCAAGTTGATCGCTTATGTGACATTTTGGCATTTGAATGAACATGTATTTTAAGCGTTCATCAACATTTTCTTTTTATTTTCGTACTTTATTGTTCTTAGAAATCTCAAAGAGCGTAATTTCAGCAACTTTGTTCAAAATTCACACACTTTAGAATATTTGACTCGATATTTTAACATAAGCGCATAGTCGCAACGCTCTCTACTTCAAATCTATGATAAAATATACCAAGATGCAGAATATATAAAAATAAAAGTATTGCTCAGCTGCGCTCAATTGTGTACTGATTTGACGTTCCTTTTTATTTTGAGCGCAGTCAAGCAACACCTTCATTTTTATGTATATTCTATACAGGGTGACTTCGAAGTTGAGTCATTTATTTTAACAGTGAGTAGATCTGATCAAAAGAAATGTTTTTTCCTTTACCATTTTTCTGGTAAAATTAAAGTAACAAAGTTATAGCCCTTTGGAAGTTTGAGTACCGCCCTGTCTCAATAATAATATTATGTGCTCGTGTTTGGCGACAACGGATATAATCCGCCTTATCGGTTCATCGCATCGGAAACAAAAAGCGAAAGAATTTGGAACGATGTTTTTACAATTATTTCATTCAGTTGTATACAGTCAGTGTCAGTCGGTAGTGAATAGTGGTGTAACTGTTGCGTGGCTCAAACGAAATAAAAAATGGCACATGTTTATGCGGATCGGTTTCCCAATCGAGTGCAACCAACCCCTCGTGCCTTTGTTAATGTAGTACAACGGGTTCGTGAATCAGGTGACTTAAGACCTCACATATGGACGGCATGCCGGTGCTCCAAGACCTCATGATCAAATACAGATCCGCACTGAAATACTTGTCGGGAGGATACTTTATAAAACAAGGTAAATTTTTTTTTATTTTTTTTTATTTTTACACACATATTTTGGTTTATCTTCCTTCTACAATCATTATCTGAAAATTAATGACTCAACTTCAAAGGCACATAATGTGATTTAACCTTTTAAAATGTTTTGTAATTGTAATGTCCTTATTTATTTTATAATTATAAGTATTTTTCTGGCATATTTGCTCAAACACATATATGACCTTCAAATTGATATTGACAAGTCTTATATCATGTAACATGATCTAATAGGACAATAAACTATCTATCTATCTATCTATCTATCTAATATTATTATTGAGACAGGGCGGTACTCAAACTTCTAAAGGGCTATAACTTTGTTACTTTAATTTTACCAGAAAAAGGAAAAAAACATTTCTTTTGATCAGATCTACTCATTGTTAAAATAAATGACTCAAGTTCGAAGTCACCCTGTATAAGTAGGCCACCTTTGGCTCTTTTTACCGACCTCGAGTGTTGTACCAACACTCTGTGGGACCTTCCTGATCTGCAAATACTGGGGTTTTAAAAGAAGTAGAAGAGTCATGTACGTTTGAAATACAAATCTTCGAAAATATTTGAATGAAAAAATTCTATAGACGCCATCAACTTGAAGTCAGTTATTTTCGGGTTAGAAAACCCCGCCTATATACTCTAATCTTTTAATTCTTAAAACCAAGTAGCTTTAATAGCTGACTAAAGTACAAGCAAGAAACCAGAAAAAATACCACAATCTAGGAATTCACAGCAACCTTATACTAGTTCCCGGAAAGTACACATAGTTACATCTCAGTGCTTTGTTTCTTATCTTTGTATTTCAACAGAGTCATACGGTAATTTACTATACGTTAATCTGTGCAGTTGCAGTTCATTTATTCGGTATCAAGGTCGCAGCACGTTATCTTTATTATTCACTTACAAACGTTAATTTGGATCCAAGAATCACAGAAATATTTTACAATTACTGGAATTCCCTGCAAGTCAAAGAAAGACGGTACTTCACCCTATTCATACAGTATATAAGCAGCTTGTACTGACGAAATGTTAATCAGTTCATCGAGCTTAATTCGACAGACAGCTTCTGTGAGAAATCAAAATAAATCATTTTTAAAATGAAATACGTTGTTGTGTTCATTGGGCTGTGTTTGGCAGTAGTCAACAGCATGCCACTTGAAGTTGCCGAAGATGAAGACGGAGAACAGTATTACATGGTTCCTCTCAGCAGAACAAGAAGGTAAGTAGATCTGCAGATCTATTATTGCAACTCAATAAGCACTGCCATGCAACTCATTTTCATTCATTTCTAACTAATGAGCACCTCAGCGCTTAGCGATGGGAAATAGGAGCAGCGACGGGAAAGCAAATAGGCGAATATCCCAATTAGCATTGACATAGGTAAATGTGGATTTAAAATAATATATATTATATAAAATATTACTAAATCTAAAACCATATACAATCGATAAATTTTTCAAGACAGATTTGAATAATATGGTTTAAAGCAAGGTTTTATCCTTAATTTCAATTGGTTGACACTATTTGTATTACAAGTGGTTTACAGCTGATGTATAGCATTTGTCTTTGCAAATAAAGATTATTGTTATGTTATGTTAAATGCCAGTCAACCATTAGAGTATTCAAGAAAGTTGAAACATTTAAACAATATTCATCAAAGCTTAATCTTATTAAAAGTTCGGCTTTAACTAAATATATTGCTATACAAGTTGCTTAATGAACTGACCACACTTTCACAATACGCATTGCTTAATGGGATCGATAAGACAAAAGATACATATTTTTACATTTTCCAAAAAAAATATGCACACATTTGATCACTAGACATATGTTTCTTGTCTTGGGTGAAGGGATAGACGCCCGAACAACTTGAGGATTATGAAAATCCTAATCAGGTAAAATCAACATGATCTTAGTAAGAGTTTTCTGGTTTTTGAGATATTTCCACTTTTAAGCTTTTCCAAAAAATCACTACGTCTTCCTCCTTTTTGACCTGTTATGGCTATAAAGAACTTCTAACTTATGTTTAATTGTTGGGCTACCATGACTAGTTGGTTAAGACAACCGAGAATTCATTTCAAATCTACCTCCCCTATCACTATAGCGAGATATTTCTGGAACACCCTGTATACTACAGCACTGGTGCTTCTTTAGCTAAGAACTTGTTAGACTGCGTATACAGTCAGCATAACTGTTCCTCAGTTCCCTGTGTGCTGAATCACCCAAGTCTTGACAAGTCTCCCTACTCCACGCGTCACTAAGCGCAATCAATCACAATGGGTTCATGAGGGCTAGACCTAGAAGGTATATGCTGCAATCCTAGGCCAGATATGAGCTTCTCAAACCTATTTCGCTATCGGAGCATATATAACATTCCTTTGAGTTTGAACCTTGATAGGAACTGACTGATAGATATTCTCAGCCAATTCTACCTCATTTTAATTACTATTAATACATCTCTTTTTGTTGCAGATCTCCTCAATCTCAAACTGGTGTGAGCGCGAACCAACAAGGAGTCACTCTAAGTCACGGAGGAAATATCTTGGACAGGAACGGACATACCCTCGACGGGTCTGCATATGCAAGCAAGGGATACCATTCACCTGGACTCAGACCAGATGCGTTTGGTGGACAGTTGAACTACAACCATGAACCTTCCAGGACCTCAGGGTACCTTGGAGCAGATCATGTTAGAGGATTCGGTACGGATGCCAGAGCTGGAGTGCAACATGATTTTTACAGGTAAGACTTCGCGGAACTTCACAGCCACCGTATGTTCATATCATATCAAAAATATTCACAAAATCATGATAAATGTTCACTTCAAGATTCTCAGGTGCCCCCTCTGACATCCCCACGCACACGCCAGTGCAATACGATATGGCTCGTACTGTAAACAAAATCAAACTGTGTAATTTTAATACCCGCTATAAATTTTTGAGCAGTAAACTAAATAAGTAACCACCTGGATCCGACCAAAACTTTTAAATCTATAATGATAATGCCAAGATGTCCGCTTCTCTTTTTTGATCTCATTCTCTATCTTCGACTGGTTAAAACTTAGAGCGTTCCGTTTCAGAAGCAACCATGCTTGAAAAATAAAGCAAATGTGTAGCGAACAAGTAAGAAATAACACTACTGAGATTTGAGTTGTCCAACTCTTTGGCACTTGGAGTTGCCTAGATCTTTTACTGTGCCCACCTTCATGTGAACGTCTCCTATACAATGTAAACAAATCTATCGGCGGTGCGAGATGGAAACATCTATGAAAACGATCTATACCTCACTCCTGAAAACACTCACTGTAACTTAAGATCAAATGTATATATCAAACTTGCTGTTATTGCTGTAGAATTATGCCATTTTCGAATTTATAAACAAGTTAATAAATGATTGACTTTTTGTTTAAGGAACAAAAATTTCAACGTGGGAGCAGGAGTAGGAGCTGAGAGACACTACGGAGGCCCATATGGCAATGGACCCACCCAACTTGGTGGATTTATCCGTGCTACTGGCCGTTTTTAAGTAGACATACTGTATTATATTGTGTGATTATTAATTCTAATATTTATTTGAACATTAAATTATTCGTACTTGCAACCTAAAGGGCTTTGATTTGTAACACCCTTCACCAATTATCGTTAATGGTAGCAGTATTTCTTTGATAATAAAAACCATAAAACGGGAGATTTTTACATAGTCAATTTTGATCGGAATATATAGACACAGCCAGAAGGTGAAAAGTTGTTTTCCAGCCAGCTGGTAGCTTTCCTCTCATTCCTCTTAAAGCAGGCAGGGCATTTTAAAAGCACTAATTCAGTAAGAATTGAATAACAAGTAGAGCAAATAGAAAGTAACAATAAACCGCAATGATTCAAATTAAGAAAGTAATAACGTAAAGGGCTCGAACGTCTGTATCTCCCACCAAGTTAGGTGCTGGATTCCAACGCACAGTCTGTGAGGTAACCTCGTTTAAAGATAACAAAAACAGTTTGCCCACAAAAGATTTTGCAATATTTCATAGTCTGTTACATCTCTGCCAACTAGGATGTTTCACTTGAAAAACCTGACTCCAAGGTCTCGGTCAAGGCCATGTTCACCACTGGCCTATCTGGAATAAAACTCAACAACAGTGCGTGTTACTTCTTCGCTCTCAACATTACAAGTTATAATAATATCCTACATCTATCAATACGCCCTAATTGAAGGCTTCTGGGTTCTCTGGGAGGTCTGGGAGAGGTTTCCTGAATATGTCCTTCAAGTTTAGCGACTTCGAAGTGTTCAAGTACACTATATGAAAGTAGGTGTTCCGTTTTATTCATTTTCTTGGTAAAAAGTAGGATAAACGGGTTTCAAAAATTGACCAGGCATTAAACCCATCACGGTCACTGTCAAGGTCAAATCCCTGATCACTATTGGCTAGTTTGAGGAAAATGTTAGCAACACTCTACTTCTACTTCTCGAATAATATCATGTTAAGACTTATGTTGTCCTGTCACATCTATTAATAGCCCCTACTTGAAGGTTTCGGGTTCTGCACGGCTATTATGTAAAATACTTAAAAAAACGTCAAAAATAACCGACGAAGTGTCTTATTGAAGACTAGGTAGTTTTTAGTATGAAAATAGTTCATGCTACGTTTGCTCGCTATGATCGCTGTTCGCTGGCGTTTAAGCAACACATAAAAGAGTTCACAACAAGTGTACAACAGCTTGTACAGTTAACATCTAGTGAGTAAAAACCAACGAAATGTCGAAAAAACATACGAAATGTCAAAAAAGCGACGAAAACTGCATTTATGTGAATTTCAACAAATTTAGCCGAAAGCCATAAGGAAACTATCTGGTTCTTTCTCGAAAACGGCTAGATTTAGGTATACGTTATTCATGACCTAATGTCTAGAATTTTGCGTATATTTCAAAAATTGAATCATAAACAGGTTGTTCCATTCAAAATAAGCAAATTGGAAAACGTCCGGTACAATAGGTAGTGCCACTATGTTGGAAACATTTTAGCTGAATTTCTTACATCAGTCATACTATAACTCCAAGTGTTCATAATTGTATGTCATCTTTTTGAGTAAGCAATCGCTTGAGTTCTACGTGGGACACCCTGTACAGAATAAAATAATGCGGAATCAGTAGCAGTAAAGAGGTGGAGCTTGATAAGCAGGCAATATTTGCTCATTTTGGCTTGCCTTAGAGCTAACTGGCATTAAAACTTGATCGGTCAAATGTCGCAGTATCCAACCAAGTGTATCTCTTCTGTATTAAACTCCTTACACGAATTTATAACAAATGCGCATATCAGATAGATAATTTTTATAGTATCAAAATCAAAATAGTTATTTAAAGCCCGCAGAGGGTAACGTACACTGCTTAACTTATGTTATTTATTCTGTATGTTCTGGCAATTTGACTTATATTGTAAAAAATACCTGTCTAGTCTCTAGTTAGGAAGGGTGAATATGTATAAAAGCACCTTAACCGCTTGTCGCCCATATATCACAAAATCAATTCTTAGTCTACTCTAAAGAACCCCATTATTGCCAATTTCAGGTATCCGAAATAAAGCTCCAATGGAACTCGGGAGTATCATTCAAGTCTCCTAATACGACCCCTCCGCCAAATCCGTTCTTAACTTAAATCTAACGCATGTAAACGACATCCCTACCATATTTTTGTAGAAAAACAATGGACTGTTCTACAGATTTACAAATGTCTATACTGTCGCAAAATACATTCTTAATTGGCATGTCCTGTCTATAAACTACCTGACAAATTTCATGTTCAGCCCTGGCAAGGTAACTTTTACACCAAAAAACAGCAGTTTGTACCATTTTATTAAAAAAAAACGGCAGGATTGGGTATCTAGGGGGAGAGGGCGGCTCCCGCGCCCTCCCTCTGAATCCGTCAAGTCCTAACCAACTGGTTTGAATCGGTCAGCAGGAGCGAAGCCTATATCTATACAACGTATTCAATTGTCGCCAAAATTGTGTAGTTTTAGGGCCGTATCGTCAGTCGTTCCTACAACTGTAGGACGCCATTATGGCCTCCTTGATTGTCATAGTGTTCTACTATTCCGCGTCAGCCTCTATTTTGAGGTTATGTCACAAATATCTACTTGCATGAAATTATTCATGCTTTTAATTTATATCATCTGTTTTAACAGTAGACATCTAGAAATACCACATTCTTCCTGAAGAAGAGAAGGGACTATGAAAATCAAGAACATACCTTCAAACAGCAACAATAGCAGAATATCTGATATTGAAATTAGTGAGCCACATTGCTTGAATTCCACTTGGTTTTTCTAAATAGTTATTGTAATCCGATATGTAACCGATAAAAACATTTGGAAGTAATTTAATTAACCTCATATTTCACTTAGGTTTCTCAAAAGAATCTCGTGTCGATAAAATGAGAACGTAAAATAACTATTTAGAACGTGAAAGTAATAACCTTTCCTAACATATTTTATATTTAAAATAAAGTAGATAAGACTTGAAGTTAAAGTCTCAGTTGGATCTCTTCAATATCCATAAAAAAATTTGGTTTATCACCAATTTGTCAATGTTGTTAGTTATGCAATGTTGTTAACAAAACATAGAGTCGAGCTGAAAACTCAATGAAACAAGAAGTGGGCTGAAATAAGTCCAAATTACCTGACAACTGCCTAGGAAAAAGCCCAACGTTGAGGTACATGCCCTTCACCATTTTCGAAAATTGTCTGGAATACTAGGACTGTATGGAAACCACGCACTTTCATACGTTTTCGTAGAAAAATACAAAAGTCATGTGTAATGTCAACAACTGTCAAACTGGCGGCTTACGCCTGACTAGAGACTATGCGATTTTGGACACAAGCAAGTTTTAGGGCCGTATCATCAGTCGTTCCTACACTGTAGAACGCCTTTATGGCATCCTTGATTGTCATAGTTTTCTACTTTTCCGTGTCCGCGCTGTATTTTGAGGTTATGTCACAAATATCTATTTGATTTATATCATGTTTTATCAGCCTGAAATTTCCTACAATTTAAAAAGAAAACATATCTTCACAATAGGAGAGCGCTGACGCTGACACAGAACAGAAGCAATCCAGAAATTTTTGAAGGAGAAAAAAGAGTACCTATGACAATCAAGGAGGCCATAAAGGCGTCCTAAAATTGTAGGAACGATACGGCCCTTAGACTTGCTCCTTCTACCTATCTGAATTAATTGGTCCAACAGAACCTGCCCCTGAAGATAGATCTCAGTCTTTTAGTGTCAATTTGTCAATGAATAACCTTACTGACGTTTCAGCTGTCGCGGCATCCTTTAAAGTCAAAAAATTGGAAACTTTACCATACCAAAGCTTATTTATCTGTCTTTATGAGGCAAATTCTCGAAAGCGAGCATTAGAAAATGGACGTAGTTCTATGGCTTCTTGTGACTTTTGCTGATGGCTTTCATCAAATAAACTGAACGTATTGCAGCAAAGTAATATGTTCCTAGGTTTTCCGTATCATTGAATAATTGTAAAATTAATTGTATTATTAAACCAAACATGATGCTTTGATCCGTCCGACCAAGAAGACAGTCAACCATGGACAGCTGCTTTGTGCTTCTTGGCTACTCATCAGCATGGTCTAGGCTTGGTCTCTTGTCTCTGGACAAACGGAAGAAAGCATCGCAAATATTCTCTATATGGTAGGTACGATTTATCAAAATAGCAAAGCGCTTAGTCGGAACTGCTAGGGACCTCAATTCACGTTTAATAGAACAGTCACCACGGGACTGCTAGATGACTGACGATTCTAGTTTGTATTATGAGTGATGAGACCCTTATCCTACCATTCATCAAGAAAATGAACGAAGGAGCGGCATTTCTATCGAGGAAACATTAAAGCATATAGTTCCTCGAACCTCTGTAACCGTTTATATAAACCTTTAACCATTATTCGAATCCTAGCCATGCATATGAATTTAACAATTCAAAATGACACAAATATCAAAAGTTTTTTATGACTCTGGAACTAGCACCTTTAATTTTTAAAACCATGAATGCCTAATAATTACTGAACAAAGTACAAGCAAGAAGACAAAAAAGAAACCACAACATTAGAAGTGACACCAACCTGATATTAATTTCCGGAATTACATAGTTACATAGTTCATCTCAGTGCTTTGCCTCTTATCTTTGTACGGCATATGAATCATACGGTAATTCACAATTCACCAATCTGTTTAGTTGCAGTTCATTTATTAAGTTACAAGGTTATCTTTATTGTTTCAACTTTGCCCAAGAATCGCGGAAATATTTTGCAATGACTGGGATGCACTACAAAAAGGTTATTTACCGTATTTCTATGGTATCAAAACAGCTTTGGCCTAAGGAATGTTAATCAGTTCATAGAGTTTAATTAGTAAGACTGCTTCTGTGATAGTGTGACAAACGAAAATATATCATCCAAAATGAAATACGTTGTGTGCATTGGGTTGTGCTTGGCAGTAGTTAACGGCATGCCATTTGAAGTTGCTGAATATAAAGAAGGAGAGCAGTATTACATGGTTCCCCTTAGCAGAACAAGAAGGTAAACTTAACGAGCAAATAAGGTATCATCCCAATGTTTAATTCATCTTGAATCATTTTTAATCTATGCGCAGCCCGAGGCTTAGAAGTAGAAGGACCAATGCGGAGGTAAATCCTTCAACTAAGGTTTCACGAGTCTACCAACACTGAAACTGGACATCCCAACGAGCATTAGAACTTGACGTCAACAATTCCAGACACTTGGACGAAAGCCACATTATTCAACTATTCAATTTATAGGAGTTTCATACCTCCGGGCATTTGGAGCAGTCGAATCTCTTTCTATTTCGATGAGGGCTGGACGTCCAAACAAATTGTAGCGACCTGTAAGAATTCTAATCAGAAGATGGAAGATTTTTATTCAATAGCATCGAAATTAGTCTTTCATTGGCTGTAAACCTCTTAACATCCCAATACAGTCATCTCTGCTTATCCAGTCTTCAGTTACCTGTGCGTCCAGTCGCCCAAGGCGGTATTAACCTGGCCTGTCCTAATTCCTATGACCATTTTGATATCAATGCAAAATATCTGAGTATCTGAGCATGTATAAGTGCTATTTCCTTTAAGTTTGAACCTTGGTGAGAATCTAATAGCAATAACCGATAGATATCTTTAGCCGATACTACCTTATTTTAGTTACTGCTTTTGTTGCAGATCTCCTCAGTCTCAAACTGGTGTGGACGTGAACAAACAAGGAGTTTCTCTAAATCACGGAGGAAATATCTTGGACAGGAACGGACATACCCTCGATGGGTCTGCATATGCAAGCAAAGGATACCATTCACCTGGACTCCGACCAGATGCGTTTGGTGGACAGGTGAACTACAACCATTAACCTTCCAGGACCTCAGCGTATCTTGGTGCAGATCATGTTAGAGGATCTGGTACGGATGCCAGAGCTGGAGTGCAACATCATTTTTACAGGTAAGGCTTCGACGAAATTTCACAATATGTTGCTAGACTACATAGGCGCAAGCGCCATATGATACTGGGAATAAAATCAAACCTTGCAATTTTAATACCTACCAAAAGTTTTTTTAAAAGGACCAACTAAACGGTCAGACCAAAATATTTAAGAATGATTTCCTTTACATGCCGCACAATCATTGTAACCGCGATAAAGTTTTGAGAATGAGATGTTTTTCGACGATGTACGAGTATGACGTGTACATCACGGAAAACCATAACTCATTTCTGTCGATCTTTCTTGTCCGTTGGTCAGTATGTCTGTCCATTAATCCGTGGCCCGATTAAAACATAATAAACATCGCTCAAACCCCGTTTTCTGGCACTTCAGAGGCTCCTGATCTTTTTCAGAAAACTTTTTGTAGGGGTTGAAAACTAAGGTTGGGATGTTGTTGAAGGTAGGGGGTTGTAGACGTTGAGAGACGTTTTATTATTAAGAAATTTGTAATTTCTGTACTATTTTTCACGTGCTAGGCACAATTTTACATATTTTGCATAATAAGCATGTTCTGGCAACGAATTTCTGACGGTCGTAAATGGTTGGAAACAGCAAATTTAGTCTGACGCATAGATTTGAGAGAGGATTTTGGACAGTTGCAAATCGGTAAAAATCGTTACTAGAATATGAATTTGTCGTCTATGTCTGTGACTCCAACAGCACAAGCATTACACAATACGGTAATAAATGTTCGACTTATTGTTTAAGGAACAAAAATTTCAACCTGGGAGCAGGTATAGAAGCTCAGAGATACTTCGGAGTCCCATTTGGCAATGGCCCCACCCAATTTGGTGGCGTTATCCGTGGTACTGGCCGATTTTAGGTAGACATACTATATTTATTGTGTGCTTATTAATGTTATCCATTTATTTGAACATTAAATTATTCGTGCTTGCAATAAAAGGTCTTTAATTTGCAACACCCATTACCAACTGCCGCTAATGTTAGTCAGCATATTTTTGACAGTAGTAGTATCCTTTTACGAAAATATACTATGTATCCTCTCATTTGAAATTTATTGTGTTTCTTTAACATGCTGAACTACATATTGTTCACGAGATTGGATGTCACTGTCGCGTAAATAGAAGTAAGAAGAACATATACAAAGGACTTGTCAGTTTTTTAGCAATAACTTGAAAATTTGCTGTCCAAATCAAGTGTTTCAGAACTTGTTTCGTAGATATTTTAGGTTTCAAAATAAGAGACGACATGAATTCCGATAGCGATATATTATCTATACGAACAGATGAATAATGATATTTATAACTATTTTCCACTAATAGAAAATAGATTTTTGTAAAGTACCCCTTTGAACACATTTTCATCAAATACAAAGCTCCTCCAGCCATTGTTGTTATACTTTTTAGACAACTCCGTTGATCATTATAGCAACGCTTTCCACAGAAACACGAACAGTGAAGTAAGTATCTTAACAGAATGATATATCTTTTCTCTTTTCAGAATTGCTTTGCAAGTAGTACTAATTATAAGCATTTCTGCCTCAGGTTTTGGTTGTTCATAATTCTTAATATAATCCTTAACTGTGTTGTTTTTATCTGTTACAGTCGAAAGTACCTCAATAAAACCTGCGTATTATTTTGTATTCAGATTATATCCAATTTCTATTCTTGGATTCCTCCCAATTATCGAGTCATCTCTTCACTTGTTGAATACAAATGAAGCTTGCGCGCATCTTTTCTGATAATCTCAGTTATTATGATCTTCATTATATGGCGATTACCACAGATTTCTCTCCAACGAATTGCAATTACCAAGCTATATTTTGTAAACATCGATATCGTGCTAATAATGTAATAAATATGACACCATTTAAAGTTCCTGTAATCGTATATTAAAAATCATAAAACCTCACTTATAAATTGAGGACGTCTTAAGATGTGAAGGTGTTGAAATATAGGTAAGATAAAATGATATGGTAGTAGCAGTGACAGGACGAAGCCTGGCAAGGAGGTGGTTTTTCCTAGCCCCATACACCAACCCAACAAAAAACATATGGGCCTTGCAGAGAACGAAAGATAACTCGATGCAGCGATGACACGTAGATGTGGAAAGCGACAACGTTGCCACATGGCCGGTAACTACCAGTAGGGCAGGGAAAGAACGTCTATGGACTAATTGTATGGCCTGTTTGAGTGACTTAATATGCTTAATTTCTCTGTTGTGCATGTCCAAAGCTCAATTTTTCCCAGAGGATTTGAACCCCTTTGACGCCATTTCTTACTGCAAATTTCGAGATGATCTTTATCATTCATTATATTACGAGCTGAAAAATCAGACTATACATATAATGATAAAGAGGGTACGAACTTTTATTTGACATAATAGAGATCAGTCATTATTGTGTTTCCATGTACACCATGGGTTCAGCTGATTACTATTCCTTATTCATGTTTCAAGTTACAATTACTCAGCAAGTTTTTAATAAGACTCCGTCCTTTGTCCGCATTTTTATTAAAGATGTTCGTACTGTCACATAAAATCTGAATCCAGTTATTGCTACCGATCATGTTAACCTTTACAAGCTATAGAGAAATGTAACCTGTATATCATAATATAGTAGGTGAATGAAGTCGACTACCCAGTTTTTTTTATTTGTCTGTTCAGTGGCCTTAAAATGAACGTGAAATGCCTACATCGAGACAAAGTTCTGCATAACGCGTGCCTGGACTCTATTCCTAAACTTATTTTGAGTTTGTCCTTGAATTGACCTTCAAATGAACTAAGTATCCCCAGGTATGGGCACAACAACCAGAGAGATCTGAATAGAATGTGGATGAATTCAATTGTTCAGCTTCTTTTAAAAGTAATCTTGAAGTTACCTTCAAATTTCCTTGTAGAGACTTACTAACCCTGGCTGCTGTACTAAGTATCATGTAAATGCCGTAGAAGCTGTATTTTTGTCAGCGTTTAATCTGGGCACACCAGTTTAACCAAGCACTAGGTCACGTCTTCCACAAGAGCCAGATTTTGAAAGGCTATGCGGCACTGCTGGGCAAGAGCTTTATTTGAAAATTCCTGATAGAAATAGATTGAAGATGAATAATATAAAAATAGACACAAGTAGGAAAGAAGCCCAAAATCATTAGTTATACCTTAACACTGACCTTACACTATCTAGATATTGGTTAAAAATCGTCATGCAACTATTCAAAAACTATTCATTAAAATTCCTGTTTTATGTAAATTAGACAATTCTCTTGAAAACATGGTGATAACAGTTAAAATTCATGTCGCCTTTCCGACATCTCACAGCTGGTTGGGTTTTTTATTGGTCGTTTTTCATCAACAATAATATTTTTATGTATGTTTATTCGTGTCAGAGCTAATAATTCATATCATAGTTAGTCATGAATTTTTGTTTGATTTTAATGCGTTACTTGATCACTCGAACGTCACGTTCGTATACGTAATAAAATGTCACTTAAGTCATAAAAATTAATTATGTGGATCTTTAAAATATATAGTGGCTTCTTCAATTTCGCGTCGTTTCAGATTAATCGTAAAAATTTGGGTAGCAGAGAACAGAAAAGCTTATAAGATTAAGCTCATTTCGATTAGATTTTGAAACTATTGTGTCCTGACCGATACAGTAACTGAAGTGAGTGGAACTAACAATACTTAGGGCCTATTATCCAATATAGGTCATTACTCAGGCCTGGATCATCAGCCAGCCCAAATTCTTGAAGGAGATAGTGATACGACACAACAAAGTTTCCGGTAGATCAAATTTAGGATGAGATCGCTCCCCCAGTCGCAAGGGGAATGCTCAACTACTCATCACTGTATATTTTCACATTCCTTCCATTCCATTTTTGTTAGCCCTTTTGTAAATCAGATATCAAATGAAAAATATTACAATACTTTAACCAATAAAAACTAGCTTACAGTTACAATTCAACAAATTAGTGGTACCGGAAATTACTTTTTTAATGATGACTTTCACCTACAATTTATATTCTTTTAATTAAATGATATTAATGACATTAATAGGTAAACGTTATGTACTTTTTAAACATACTTTTAGCTTTTTCATATTTTTTAATCAATAACAAAATAATGGTTCAGTCTTAAGCACGGTGCTCTGTAATTTTCATAGGGCAGTGAATGAAATTCGTATCTATTAATACACGAAAAATGTGTTGAAAATTATACACGATGCACTATCTTGAACGTATTCTAGCAACCATACTAAATTGCAGAAAATATTCTATAATACACAACACTCTTGTGTAATTTTCGCCACAAAAACCGAACCTTCTCGCCTATTTCGAGGTTAGCATTTTTCGGAAACGCTATAAAAATTATTGTAAGCTTATCTTTTTATTTTGTGTGTTGAAAAAATGCTGCTGTCGACCGAGCTGTCGACATTCCCGTAATTTCTGATTTGCCATGATTTCGAAAATGCTTTTACGACATAAAAAACAAAGTCAACCCCAAGTTACTGTGGAAATTTTGCAAGTATCTATTGGTATTTTAGCAATTGTTATTTAAATGAAAATTATATAAGACAATCAGCTTAGAAATTACTAAAAGGCATAATTATTAGTTGAACTTGAATATTCAGGTTTTATTATGCTTTCAATTTTTTAGTTCCTGAAACGTTTGAAACTAGGCTATTAAAATACCATACACGGCACACCTGATCTCATCATACATCTCAGATGATTCGGCATAAAGCAACCAACAGATCGAATACACTTTTCTTAGGAATGGTGTAAAACCTTTCCGGGGCCTGAGTCTGATAATTGAATTCCCACCATTGAAATTAATATCAGTGTCCCCTTGCCATCTTACGAGTACATAAGCATGTTCTATAATATATATTTCGGAGCTGCCATGACTGTTTCAATATATGAACCATTTATAAGCAGGTGTCAAAATTATCATGGCGTATCATACGTTGGTATTCCACCGGACCGCTCTGACGAATAATGACAAATAGTATACGAGGGATCTCTTTTAAGTTTTGCATATGGGAATAAAACAACACGGTAGGTAGTTTTAAATGACTTTATTGTTTTTCGAAGTATTCTCCACGAAGATTAATACACATCTGCATGCGCTCGAACCAATTTTCTAAGCACTTATTCCACTCGTCTGCTGTCAGATCCAAAACGGCATTTTTGAATGCGTCAACTGCTTCTTCTGGTGACTGGAACCTTTGACCACGCAGTCTGTTTTTAATTTTCGGGAAAGTAAAGAAATCGTTAGGATCGGGACTATATGGAGGATGGTCCAATAACTCCACGTTTTCTTCCGTTAAATACTGCCTTGCTTTTTGGGCTGTGTGCGAGCTTGCATTGAAGGTGAAGGATGATTCTTCTTTCGGGGTTGATTTTTGGCAAACAAATGTTGGTATACCAATCCGCAGTAACAGTTCTTTGCTCATTAAGAGGAATTGTTGCAATATGACCCGCTTTTGACACAAATGTCGCGACCATCTTTTTCGAAACACTTCGGGAACGGATGACTTTTGTTGGCTTTTCTTCACCTTGGAACACCCAAACAGCCGACTGTCGTTTATTTTCTGCGTTTTTTGACACCAATTAACCGTGGCTGCTTTCTGCTCTTCAGTCAACAGGTGGGGTATCCAACGAGAAACTAATTTCTTACTCCTAATTCTTCATGTAAATTTTTTTGAATTGAGGTCTTTGAGATCTTCAAGGACGCCTCAATCTCGCGATATATCACATGTCTATCTTCAATGATGAGTTTGCGCACAACATCGACGTTGTCCTGGGTGACTGCCGTTTTTGGTGCACCCACCCTGGAATCGTCGCTAACACTCACCCGTCCACGTTTGAATTCTTCATACCAACGGGAGGTTGTCGACTGATGTGGCGCTTTGTTGCCGAAAACAGACAGTAACTCAGCAAAGCATTCTTGTTGCGATAATTGTCTCTGAAAGTTGTACTAAATTATACTATACTATAGCGAGAACAATGCATGTATTACTAAAGATTGAGGTTAAGATTCAGAACTGACGATCGATCCGCGCGGCCTACTATGTTTCTATATGCAAAACCTAAAAAACATCCCTCGTTATACATTGCTATTTTTGATACTTACCTTTTGAACTCGAGAAGTTAGCAGGCTCGAACTTAGGGTAATGAAATTGATGCACGGACACTATATTTATGCGTTAACGTGGTAATTGGAGATTTCAAGATAGTGGCTTGGCTATGTGATAACTCCTTTCGGAGCTTCGTTATACCCCTCTGGTATAAATTCACTACCTTTCAAAATGGCGAACTGACAGAATGGCAAAGTTGTGCGTTTTTATATATTGAATCGCTTATAACTCAACAACCAGTCATCATAGCAAAATGTTTCTTCTGGAATTTATTTTCACTTTTGTTTTTATTGTGAGCTCAGTAAGCCAAAACTACAATTTTTATATGTTTTGTGTATCAGTGCGTTTTATTATAAACTTGAAGTCGGAAGTATTGCGACTATTCTCTTATATAAAGGTCGCTAGTTAGATATTCTAAAATTGGACCAAAATTCCAAAACATAAAACTTTGGGCTTTGAAAAAACAATCTAGTACTAAAATAAAAAGAAAAATATTGTTGATATTTCAAGGTTTTTTTTATACTTCAACTACCACGAAAGCCTAAGGCCTAAACACCCATTGGGTACCGTGGGGCTATCGGGGATACAGGGGTAAGGGGAAACGCCACACGGACTCTGGCGGGGGAACACGTGTGCATGCAACATGCACACATTCTGGCTCCGCCTACGAGATCCGCCGGATGGTACCTCCGCGTTCGACAGTCGGAGACCGTCTACCACCTACGGACAATCACAACATCCATAGCCAAGAGAAAAATTTCTCCTGACATGGGATTCGAACCCGCACAGCGCACGGCGACTGATCAGGATACCGAAGAGTCTACTACTGCGGCCACCGCTGCTGCCTGGTACATAAATATGTTATGAAAAATTTGCCTGCAAAAATTGTACAGTTTACGTTTAACACAAAAGTTGAACTGAAGGCCGAAAAATCGCTTTTCGACCCTGTTCCTTAATAATTATTTTATAAATTTATTTGCGAATGTTACATTAATTTCAATTCGTGATTCAGTAAGTAGCAAAATTGTAGATGTAATAAATAGTGAAATGGACAACCTTACTTTATGGTTAAAAACAAATCAGAATAAATTAAATGTGAAGAAAACGAAATGTATGATCATAGGTTCGAAAAATAATTGCGAGTAATTAGTAGATTTAAATCTGTCAGTGAATATTGATGCGGATGTACTTTATTTTGTAGATAGTTTTAAGTATTTGGATATTATAATAGATCAGCAACTAACCTTCAGTCAACATGTTAACTATATGTCGGAAATTACGCAAAAATCTCGGATGTTTTCCTAGAACTTGTGACTATCTAAATCTCTGGTGCAGCAGGGTAGTTAGTCTACAATATAATAATTTTTATCATTTTACTTACTGTGCATCACTTTTGATTACATGCACAAATGAGGAAAAGCAAGGGTTACAAGTTCTATTAAATAAATAATAATAATAATCAAACGTTGTAGCAGGTATACAAGATATGCTAAAGACACTGAATTTTTTAATCATATACCCAATCATTCAAGAGGCAGATTCAGTTTTTGCATGCAAAATTATCAATAACAAGGCTCCACCTTATCTTGAGCAGTATGTGGAAAAAAGATTTGAATCGCAAGGTTACGACATTAGATCAAAAGAAAATTTACATATACAAAGATTTAAATCCAAAGCTTTAGAAAAGTCAATGTTTATTGAAGGTATAAAATGTACAACAATCCTATTATTGTAAAAATATCTAGTAATGTTAAAATTTTTAAAAAGATACTTCGGAGAAACTATTTTGGTTTGATGTCATGACCACGGTGTAATTTTTTTTGAAGATAAGATTTATTATTGTTTGAAGTAGCTCAAAGCTAAATAAATCATTTTCGAATCTATTCTACTATGGATACCATACTGTTCGTCATACCAATAAAATCTATTCCCACGTATGATCAATTATCACAATCTGCCAACAATTGTATGATTAAAATGCACAATGTGTATACCGGTTGTAAATGATATCCAACAAAACACTCAGGTTGTTAGATAAAAGAGACGAACTCAATTGAGCTAATTGTTATATTAGATCGACGTAGATTAGTTGTCGGCCTTCATAAATTAGACATTCACGCGTGGGTATGCTGAAACTGAAATGCACGACTTACAGTTGATTTGCTTGTAGCATAGATAGGCGGACATGTGTACTTATATAGTTTATGCTTTCAAAGATTTACTATTGAATTGTTTGCTGTTGGACTTGAATGCTGAGACCCAGTTTTGAAACAAAACTAAACACTAAAAGTTGAGTGCTACACGCTCAGAAAGAAACATCAAAATGGGGGAAAAGATATTAGTAGTAGTAGTCCTTTATTTAGAAAAAATCCTAATTTCAACAACAACAACAACAACTGGTAGCATTACAGCATTTCACAAGTACATACATATATATTCAAATATAATAAATTTAACAAATTCTGTCAGATCTTATGTGTTTGATAAGTGCTTTCTTGAAATACCCGACTGAGTCGGCGTTTTTTATTTGCTGGGGCAACTTATTGTATTCACATAGACCTGTTTACATTATTGTTTTCATTGTACTCTTCATATTTGTTTTATTTACATGGAAATGAGTACACGTCCTAGAGTTATATGAATGGATCTCATTATTTGGGCGTAGATGCGCACCTAGAGTATCCAGCATATATTCAATTCTTGTGTACCTAGACCACTGTAAAATATTAAGGGCTTTCTGATGAAGCTGGGAAAATATTTGAGGAATATCTAAAAATATGCAAGGAAATAATAGGAAGGACCAGTGATAATAACAATTATATTTCTGAGTGACGAGCTTAACATGTGACATCTGACTAAAAGCTAAAGATCACTACAAAAGATTCAATTCCCATAGAAGAGATCATATATGAACCTTTACGCGTCAACACTACATGCACTTGTGATAGAAAATAAACAAACGTATAACGTATTCTGCATTCATCCTGAATGTCCGTAATTGAGGCTGTTTCAGGCATCGGCGTGCCCCACATTCCTTCTACAACTTTGGCAAGAATAATATTGAGTCTCATTTTGATATTTATGTAGTAGTCTAATCATATTAGAAGAAAATACCCCTGGTTTGAGAAATAATTATAAAGTCTGGTTTGATGCAAATTGTTTAGAGGAGAAACATGGACGCATAAAATGGGCACACCAATTTTAGTGAGAAAACTTTTTATTGGGCAACAGAGAATGAGGAAACGTGTTTTTTGTGATTCAATTGAAGGTGTTGACAAAAACGTAAAACAATCCGTCTGATAGTAAAAAAGTTATGGCAGAAAGCCGCGGCAAAATGCAGGTTTTGGCACTTGCTGCTTGCTCACATAGGTACTTGAAATTTTTCAAATCCGCAGGCTCCATACTTCTAATTAACCACAACAAAATTCGAGTCGATTAGTCAAGTAGTTTTTGAGAATTTCTAATTGTTTATCCCAAAACACCTGTCTTCCGGCCATCACGACTAATTTACTGAGCAATATACAGGGTTCGTTCAAAGGACATTTTATAGCAAAATATACGAGCTTACCTTGCCGACAAAAACCACAAACCATTCCGAAAGGCAATTGTTATTTTTAAGCAAAAAACGAAGGATTACTTTTTTTCTTCTAAGCAAATTCAAACATTTCGTTTTTGATCAGATGCGCTACGATATTCGAAAAACATACATTATTATACACATTTTTAAACAAAGCCTATCACCTTTAGTTGCGAAGAAAAAAATTTTGGTCAAGATTTCTTCTCTTGTGTATACATATTTACAGCTGAAATGTTTACATGGTCACAGATGAGCCTAAAAGTTTATAAAAAAGTATGTCATACTGAAATGCGCCGAACTGTGATGAACTTAGCACGCAATTGAACACACAATTATGTTTCAAACTGTCTTATAGTAGTTAGTATGTAGCATGTGCTAAATGGCTGCATTAATGATGACTGTATGACTTTGTCAAAGAAGTAGGTCACGTAATCTTGTTTTTCTTTACGAATAAACAGTTCCCTGGACCTTTTTTACTTTTAGTCGGAACTTTTTATGTGCAGTCTCATTCTGTAGGTCTCATAAATACCTAAAAATCTTATTTGAAGAGTTTTATTTCCTGCTAGCACTTTCAATTGTGAGTCCCAAAAACACGTTTTTTCATTCTTTGTTGTCGAATAAAAAGTTTATCCACAAAAATTGGTGTACCCAGTTTATGGGTTCATATTTTGTATACCCCCTCGAACAACTTGCATCAATAAAACCAGACTTTACAATTACTTCGGGAAAATTTAATATTGTTTTTTGAAACAAATCTTTATTCAATATTAAATTTTTACAAATTTTATAGGAAACAAAGTTCTCTAATCTGTGTTTAAAACACTGGCCTTGAGAACAACAATACTTAAAGTGCGAATTTTAGCTAGAATAAATTCAACAATTCAAGTGTCTTTTGAGTGTCTTTACATAATTTCTGATTACATGTACTTTTTTACATTATTTGGTAGGTTGTATATACGTTTTTACCGCATCAGTGACGGGGTTATTTAATCCTATATTGGTTCTAGTAGGAATTATTGTATTATCTTGTCTCATGGTCATGCACCTCATGTGTGATCAAAATGTTTGTATTACACTTTTGTTGGTTGTTTAAAATTTTGAAGATCATTTTACATTGTTCTAATTCCAACAGCTTATCTAGTTTACAAACATTCAATTCTGAGTACATATTGTCCGTGTTGGAAAGTCGATCACAGTTGAACAAAATTCTTAATATTCTATTTTGCAAAACTTGTGCTTTATGAAATTCAGTTTTACAACACATTCCCCAAATAGGTAACATATATCTAAAGTGTGCTAAGAAAAATGCATTATAAATATTTATTTTACTTTTTGTAGTTAAGTACTCTCTGCTTCGGTACAAAGCAGTTATCATCGATGTTGCTTTATCCAAAAAATGTTTAATGTGACTAGACCAATTCAAGTTCTCATCGATAATTAAACCCATATTTGGTGCTCGATACTTTTTCTATTATAACATTATTTATTCGTATACAAGGGTTTTCGAATATTTTATTTTTCTGTTTAAAAATTATATATTTTGTTTTATCAATGTTGACCTTTAGTTTATTCGAATATAGCCATTTACAGTAAAGAGCAAGATCTAAATTAACTTCGTCACGCAGGCCTGCTCATGATTTCCTTTATAGAGAAGAACTGTGTCGTCAGCAAAAGTAAAATACATTGCATTAAGATTGGTACTCTTTAGATTTAGAACATATGAAGAATATAATAGTGGACCTAAGACAGACTGCTGAGGGACACCACAGTCACTAGATAACCACTCACTAGTTGTTTCACCAATTTTGACATATTGTTTCCTGTTAAGTAAATAAGTTTTAATGAAATTATACACAGTACCCCTAAATCCCATATTTTGTAACTTATTCAATAATATATTAATATCTACCACATCAAACGCCTTTCTATAGTCTATAAACAATGCTATAACCACTAATTTTTCATCCAAAGCCCTTGAGATGTAATTTACAAAATCAACTGCAACTGCAAGCGTGCTACTGTTTTTTATGAACCCATACTGGTAACTGTCTGCTAATGTGTTTTCCTCTGTAAATGACATCATTCTTTTCTTGATAATTTTTTCGACAATTTTAGATAAAATACTGATCACAGATATTGGCCTATAGTTATTCATAGAGTGTTTATCACCTGATTTATAAAGTGGAGTAATTTTACTTATTTTAAGTTCATCTTGAAATTTTCCAGTTATAATTATGTTGTTAATTAATTTTACTAATATTTCTACAATATAAGGTCTGAGGTTGAGTATATCTCTGACTGAAACGCCATCATGGCCAGGTGCTGAACTTATTTTTAATTCATGTATGGTTTCACTCACCTCTTGTTGATCAGTGAGGGCTATCAAAACTGTATTATGCATATACACTTCTTTTTTTCAATATTTGAACCTGATATTCTAATTTCATTTTCTAAATCTTTTGCAATAGAACTACCAACATTAGAGAAATATCTGTTTGAATTATTTACTATATCTATCCTATCATTCACGAGACTGTTGCCAATCTTCAGACAATCACAGACAGCTCCCTCTGCTTTATGTTTAAAAAAACTATTGATAAACGTCCATTGCTTTTTGATGTTGCTACCAGCTAAATTAAACTTTGTCCGAAAAAACCTATCCTTCAAGACTTTTATTTTATTGTTTATTCGGTTTTTAATTTTTTTAAATTCCGCAACTAAATTCTCATTTTGTGGTTGTGTTGACTTTTGTCTGTAAATTTTATACCTTTTATCCATCATTTTAAGTAATTCCTCATCTATCCAGTCACGTATTCTTAATACTTTTTTTTTCTCCGACTTGACCTTACAATCTTGAATTATATCAGTCATGTGCTGAAATGTAGTAATATTCACTGTTTGTACCTTCCGTTGACCAAGATACTGAAGTCGCTTATAATCTATCGATCTTATTTCATAATTTACCTTTGGTTTACGAATTTTGTTGCTATCTTTAATATTTACTAACAGTAGCTTATGGTCCGACACGGCATTTTCCTTAACACTTACATTATAATTCAGCTTACCGCCACGGTCACTGAGAACATGGTCTATGAGAGATTTACTTGAATCCGTGGTTCGAGTAGCATGATCTTCACAAATTGAATTGCTTATTTTAAAGTTATTTATTGTTAACAAATTTTTGTATTCGAAAGTCGTTGGAGAATCTTCTAACAGGTTTATGTTCATATCTTCTATTATTAAATGATTTCTTGGATGTTTAAGGAGGATGGACTCCAGATACAGAAAAAAATCCTTATTGTTGTACGATGGTGGTTTGCAGACTACACTAATTTCAATATTTTGTTCACCTAAACATATACACATCCAATTCAAGATGTCATTAGTATTGGACTGATCTAATTCATAAAATGATATTGTTTTGCGTACGTATATGGCCACTCCACAGCCACGCCCAGATCTGCAGGAATGCACAGAAGAGTAGTTCTCCAACTCAAAAAGAAAGATTTAATTTTTCTGCAACCACGTTTCACTAACCACCAATATATCACAGTCTTCCTTGAACATAAAATATTGCATGAGATCAATTTTATTCCTAATACTCTGAATATTCATATACGCAATTTTGAGTCGTTTTCGAGGCTCTTCTAGTTTTCCAACTGCTCCTTACTTTCAACTAACAGAACTTTAGATCGCTAGTCTTTACGTAGGAAAATGCTTCCATTCCCAATCCATAGGAACTTGTATCCTTTCGCATTTTTGAACAATCTTGCAGTTTTGTACTGTTCAACATTCGTTTTTGTGAGCTCATGATTTAGAAATATTTTATTCTCCGTT